CACATCCCATAGACGTGGGATTTTTATCAGCCTTAATTTCGANTCCCATAGGCGTGGAATATTTTATCAGCTATAACCTCGGAACCATAAGTCCCGCGAACTTGAAATTCGGCATGCAGACATATCAATGGTAGGTGCTTATACGAGGCTATATATAAACGAGATTGTAAAAGGAATCGTGGCACATCCCATAGACGTGGGATTTTTATCAGCCTTAATTTCGAAACCATAAGTCCCACGAGCTTGAAATTTGGTATGCAGACATATCAACGGTAGGTGCTTAGAAGAGTTTGTAAAAGGAATCGTGGCACATCCCATAGTCGTGGAATTTTTTATCAGCTATAACTTCGGAACTATAAGTCACACGAACTTGAAATTTGGTATGCAGACATATCAACGGTAGGTGCTTAGAAGAGTTTGTAAAAGGAATCGTGGCACATCCCATAGTCGTGGAATTTTTTATCAGCTATAACTTCGGAACTATAAGTCACACGAACTTGAAATTTGGTATGCAGACATATCAACGGTAGGTGCTTAGAAGAGTTTGTAAAAGGAATCGTGGCACATCCCATAGTCGTGGAATTTTTTATCAGCTATAACTTCGGAACTATAAGTCACACGAACTTGAAATTTGGTATACAGACATATCAATGGTAGGAGCTTATAGAAGAGTACGCATAACCGAGTTTGTAAAAGGGGGCGTGGCCCATCCCATAGGCGTGGAATTTTTTATCAGCTATAACTTCGGAACTATAAGTCACACGAACTTGAAATTTGGTATACAGACATATCAATGGTAGGAGCTTATAGAAGAGTACGCATAACCGAGTTTGTAAAAGGGGGCGTGGCCCATCCCATAGGCGTGGAATTTTTTATCAGCTATAACTTCGGACCCACAAACCACACGAACTTGAAATTTGGTATGCGGGCATATCAATGGTCGGTGCTTATAGGAGGGCACACGGAGAAAAAAAACGCGTTGTAAAAATGAGCTTTTTTTATTTGGTTACCGTTTAAAAATGTTCGTATTTAAATCAAGTGAAACGTGTTAATAAAACGGGGGTGTGGCACATCCCATAGGCGTGGAATTTTTTGTCAGCTATATCTTCGGAACCATAAGTCTCAAGAACTTGAAATTTGGTATGCAGACATACCATAGGTAGGTGCTTATAGGAGGGAATGTATAAACGAGGTTGTAAAAGTGGGTGAGGCGCATCCCATAGGCGTGGAATTTTTTGTCAGCTATATCTTCGGAACCATAAGTCTCAAGAACTTGAAATTTGGTATGCAGACATTTCAATGGTACGTGCTTATACGAATGTATATATAAACTTGTTTGTAAAAGGGGGCGTGGCACATCCCATAAGTGCGGAATTTTTTATCAGCTATAACTTCGGAACCATAAGTCTCACGAACTTGAAATGTGGTATGCAGACATATCAATGGTACGTGCTTATAGGAGGGTATTTATAAAGGAGTTTGTAAATGGGGGCGTGGCACATCCCATAGGCGTGGAATTTTTTATCAGCTATAACTTCGAAACCATAAGTCTCACGAACTTGAAATTTGGTATGCAGACATATAAATGGTAGGTGCTTATAGGAGGGAATGTATAAACAAGTTTGTTAAAGGGGGTGTGGCACATCCCATAGGCGTGGCATTTCTTATCAGCTATAACTTCGGAACTATAGGTCACACCAACTTGAAATTTGGTATACAGACATATCAATAGTAGGAGCTTATAGAAGAGTACGCATAACCGAGTTTGTAAAAGGGGGCGTGGCACATCCCATAAGTGCAGAATTTTTTATCAGCTATAACTTCGGAACCATAAGTCACACCAACTTGAAATTTGGTATACAGACATATCAATAGGAGGAGCTTATAGAAGAGTACGCATAACCGAGTTTGTAAAAGGGGGCGTGGCACATCCCATAAGTGCAGAATTTTTTATCAGCTATAACTTCGGAACCATAAGTCTCACGAACTTGAAAATTGGTAACTTCGGTTCCATAAGTCTCACGTACTTGAAATTTGGTATGCAGACAAATCAATGGTAGGTGGTTATAGGAGGGAATGTATAAACGAGGTTGTAAAAGTGGGTGAGGCGCATCCCATAGGCGTGGAATTTTGTATCAGCTATAACTTCGGAACCATAAGTCACACGAACTTGAAATTTGGTATGCAGACATTTCAATGGTAAGTGCTTATACGAATGTATATATAAACTTGTTTGTAAAAGGGGGCGTGGCACATCCCATAAGTGCGGAATTTTTTATCAGCTATAACTTCGGAACCATAAGTC